CCCCCCCCCCCCAATTTCTATTCTCCCACATCAAAAACACATCAATGTGCATCCACATTCCCCAGAAAAGATACCCTTGGCTTTTGGAGAAAAACAAGGTGTAGGGGTGAACAGGATGGACTGAAAAGTGGCCCAACGAGACTTGGGGTGTTGATTTTTTTTTAAAAACTCTTTCTTTTAACTAGGCATTTGAAATGGCAGAATCAGATTTCAGAAACGGAAAGCGATCTCCATTTCAGCTGTTTCCTGAAGCCACGAGGTGCCAAATTGGTTTGTGGACCAGGCAGCACCTTTTCCCCCTGCAGGATTGGCCCACCCCCCAGGTAGAGAAAGAGAAAGAGAGCGAGAGAGCGAGAGAGAGATTTAACTAGGCATTTGAAATGGCAGAATCAGATTTCAGAAACGGAAAGCGATCTCCATTTCAGCTGTTTCCTGAAGCCACGAGGTGCCAAATTGGTTTGTGGACCAGGCAGCACCTTTTCCCCTGCAGGATTGGCCCACCCCCAGGTAGAGAAAGAGAAAGAGAAAGAGAAAGAGAGAGAGGGAGGGAGGGAGGGAGGGAAGGAAGGAAGGAAGGAAGGAAAAGATAGGAGGAAGGAAGGAAGGAAGGAAGGAAGGAAGGAAGGAAGGAGCTGATAATGGATAGAAGGGAGGGAGGAAGGAAAGAAGGAAAAGATAAGAGGAAGGAAGGAAGGAGCTGATGATGGATTGAAGGGAGGGAGGAGGGAAGGAAGGAAAACATAGGAGGGAGGGAGGGAAGGAGGAAGGAAGGAAAAGATAAGAGGAAGGAAGGAAGGAGCTGATGATGGACAAAAGGAAGGAAGGAAATCATTGAGTCCCATTAGCACTCTGATAATAAAATACATTTCTAAGAAAAGGGCAGTCCAGAGGGGCAGAAAAAGGCAGGGGCCGGGATCACATGATGTCGTCCAGGAGGTTGGGACTGGCCACCCAGTCGAGCGTGCGTGGCTCGGAGGCCGCCATGATCATGCACATGAACTGCTTGCCGGTCCTCTTGTCGATGGGGTAGATGGTGGTGGGGGTGAAGCGCCGGTTGCTCTCCACGAAGGCACACAGCTGCTCGTAGACCTTCGGGAACTCGTGGCGCAGGAAGACGCCCCGGATGCGCAGCTCGCGCTGGATGTTGATGAAGCACACCTGGCGGGCTTTGCGCCCTTCCTCGCCTTCCTTGTCGATGTCGGCCGTGCCAGGCGGTGGGGTCAGGATCAGCGTCTCCATGTCCCGCTCTTTCTTCAGGATCTTCTTCTCCGGGCTCGACGAGGCCAAGGCCACCTTGGCGTACTTGCGGACGGTGGGCACCTGCGCCTTGGGGGACGGCCGCTCGGGGACGTTCTGCCCCACCGCCACGGTGACGTTCAGGAGGAAGCACTCGTCCGGGTCGTATTGCTGGCCGGCCTCCCGGAGCTCCCGGGCGTAATCGCCCAGGTTGTCCGAGTATCCGTCCAGCTCCCGCAAGGAGAGGTAGGTGGGCGACATCAGCAAACTCTCCAGGCCGAACTGGAGGAAGTTCTCGGCGGAGCCGGAGTTGGGGAACCCCAAGAAGAGCACCCCCCGGCCCCGGGAGAGGAAGCCCACCTTGGCGATGCGGGAGAAGGCCTTGTGGACCTCCCCGTTCTCCCGGCAGAACTGGAGGACGTGGCGGCAGGTGCTGCCGATCCGGCCGTAGATGCAGCTCTCCTTGTGCGTGTCCCAGTCCTCGCGGCGGCAGTTCCGGGAGCAGTAGTAGGTGTAGCAGCTGTGGCAGGACTTGAAGTAGAGGCAGGCGTTGAACATGGTCTCCGTGCGGCGGCACTTGGCGTTGGAGCACATCATGACGTCGTCCTCGTCGGCGCTGAGGTCCGGCGAGCAGTCCTCGGGGCCTTTCTCGTAGGGCGCGGTGGGCGCTGGGGCCTCGGCAGGACGCCGGCCCTGGTCCTTGCGCAGCTCCGCGTGGTAGGGGCTGCGCCCCGGCTGTTCCTTGGTGGGCCGGGACTCCGGCGAGGGCTTCCAGGCTTCCGGCTTCTTGGCTGGCAAGGCCACGCTGTCGCTGATCAGCCGGCGGAGCTGGTCGGCCAGGTTGCTCACCTCGCTGGCCGAGCAAATGGACGGGGGCTTGTAGTCGATGACCAGGTCCGTAATGAGTTCGTCCAGCTGCTCCAGGCTGCGCTGGCGGCTTTCTTTGGCCCCGGGATCCGGGACGTAGGGGCGGGAGGGGCCCCCGCAGCCCCCACCTCGCCCTTCGCCCGAATCCAGCACGTCCCAGCTGGCCGAGCGCCGCTCACCCTTGCAGACCCCGCCGGCCCGGATGTCGTTGTCGGTGATGGTGATCTCCGGCGTGACGAACCAGCCGTGGCGCCCCCCGTCGGCGTGGACCTTCTCGATGAGGGAGCTCTCGGAGAGCGAGAGGGCGGCGTAGCGCCTCGGGGAGCTGGACAGGTTGACCACCACGGGCTGCCGCCGGTCATCGGGGGATAAGGCACGATGCGGGTCCCGGGCCAAGAGGTTCTCGTAGCTGCGCCCGCGCAACAGAGGGTCTTCCCGGCGCGGGTGGGGGGTCAGGATGTTGTCCCACGACTTGGAGTAATGCCTCGTGTCTGTGCCCAGCCGGGGAGGGCTGACGCTGTAGCTGGCGTGCCAGGAGGACAGCATCGCCCGCGGGGCAGGCTGCTGGGGGGGATAGCGGGAGAACTGCCACGTCGAGTAGGGCAGGCCCCCCCGGTCAGGGGGGCAGTACCAGTCGTTGAACTGGGCGGGGGCAGCCGTGCGGGGATGCGGGTAAGTCCGAGACATGGCTTCCCGCTCGTGGTACTTCCCGTAATCCTCGGCGTAGAAAACGCGGGGGTTGGACGTTGCCACCGGAGTGGGGAAGGCCCGAGGGTCTTCGGCATAAACAGCCTTGACGGGAGCAGTCCGCGGGGTATACAGGCGGGGGTCGTCGGTGTAGTAGGTCCGGACCGGGGCCTCCTGGATGGGATACGGAGTCCGGTTATCCTCCACGAAGAAGGTGCGGCTGGGAAGCGGGTGGAAAGGGCTCTGAGGGGGCTCCTCGGCATAAAAGGGCTGGGGGGGGAGGGCAGGCCCCCGATAGAGCGGGGCGTACCCCTCGTAACCGGAGCTTTTTAAAGGGTAGCTGCCCGGCTCCTCGGAGTAGAAGAACTTGGTGGGCACGTAGGCAGAGTAAGGGACGCAGCCGCCTTCCGGCCCGACAAGGCCTCCGTCGTATAGCTCGGCCGGATACGGCGGAAGCCCCCGGTGGTCCCCGCTGTACGTATCGCTGGGGGTGGGCGTCCGGGACATGGACACTTGCCGACTGCTGGGCACGGTCAAGCTGTGAGCGGTCCCTGGGGGTCGGATCCAGACAGGCGGGGGCTCTCCGTGGCCGTGGGAGGCCTTGGCACTGCGGGCCGCGTGCATCACCGTGGCCTCGTCGGGCTTGA